TATAGAGGAAGAAAATAAATACTACTATAACTAATGTTGAGATGTTAAATAATTGTCATCTTAGCAACACTCCCCAACATTAATATATAGATAGATTAAGAGAATAATTAATATTCAAGGGAAGAAGTTAAGAAAATAACTCACAACTTTAATAATCAACAAGCTTCAAGAGCAACACCAAGAAATGGAAGTTTAGCTCCTCATTTGGAGACTAAACATGCTATAAAAATATAAAAGAAATACTATTCTAAACTGAGCTTAAGAGAGTATATGAATTGGTGAATAAATGGGAAGGAAATGAGGTGTATTTATAGGTGTTTGGAGCTGCCAGGGCCATTTACCCGACCGGGTTTTTGAGAAACCCGACCGGGGTAAAAGGCATATCTTTGTCAAATCTTCACTTGCACGTTCAATTGCCCCCAAATCACATTTTATTTTCGGATCAAGTCAATACCCGATCGGGTAAATGCTTTACCCGACCGGGTAAATGACTATTTTTCCAAATTTTCACTTGATCTTGTTCCCTTGAACTTTCCTTGAGCTTTCCAAGGATCCTTTTGATGATCTTTACCTAGTTAAAGCTCAGAATAATCCTAATCTAAACAAATTACAAAGAAAATAGGAAAAATAAAGTATTACACCAAAAGTGTGTAATTTCCCAAACAACAACAAATAAAACTAGTTAAAGTTACACACATAAACCATAACAATTCTATACTATCATACATCTACCAAAGCTAAAGATTTTTTTGGAATCATACAGCGTATTTATACAATTTTTGCAAATTCAACAAAGAGGTGGGAAATTTTGAAAAATAATATAAAAGGGTTGACTCCAAAGCCATTGTCAGCCACTCGTTGGGAGAGTCGGGTTGATAGTGTTAAAGCTATAAGATCTCAAATATCAGAATTTCGAGAAGCTTTACTAGAAGTAGCAGATATTGATAATGATCCTAAAATAAGAAGTGAGGCTAAATATTTAGCAATTAACGAGCTTGCTGATTTTGAGTTTTTAGTTGCCATAGTTATTTGGTTTGAAGTGTTATGTGCTATTAATTTGGTTAGCAAGTTTTTACAATCAAGGGATATGCTTATTGATGTTGCTATTGAAAAAATAAATGGGTTGATTTCATTTTTTGATAAATATAGAGAAACTAGTTTTAATGAAGCCTTAAATAGTGCTAAGGAAATTGCTATTGAAATTAATATTGATCCAGTATTTCCTCAAAGGCGTGAAATTCGAAGGAAAAAACATTTTGATGAGCATACAAATACATCACCTGAGGCTAAACTGTCAATGGAGGAATCATTTAAATTGAATTATTTTCTTTACATTGTTGATCCTTAACTTCTCTAAAGAGCAGATTTGATCAATATCAGAAATATGAAAATGTCTTTGGTTTCTTGTTTACTTCTCACAAATTAAAGGCATTAGATGATGGAAGTTTAAAGGCTTGCTGCATTCAGTTTGAAAATGCACTTAAGCATAATGAAAAGTCTGATATTGATAGAAATGAATTATGTGTTGAGTTAAAGTTACTTAGACAACTTTTGCGTGAAAAAAATGGGTCCTATTGAAATTTTGAAGTTTTTAAAATGCTTAGACTGTTTCCCAAATACAATTATTGCATATAGAATGTTGTTGACTATTCCTGTGACTGTTGCTTCTGCAGAAAGAAGCTTTTCGAAGTTGAAGATTGTGAAGTCCTACTTGCGTTCAACAATGTCACAACAACGACTTAATGGTTTAGCGTTGATAACCGTAGAAAAAGAAGTCTTGGAGAAAGTGGACTGCCAAGAACTGATTGATGAATTTGCTTCGAAGAATGCTAGGAGAATGGCTCTTTTTAATTGAACCCTGATGTGCAACATGTGCTTAAGTTTGAACACTTTATTTGGATGCTTTATTTTACTCAATGTATTGGATGATTTTGGTATGCTTGTAAGCTTCGGGCTTGTTGCAAGTCTGGAATTGAACAATCCTTATGTACATGGAATTGAACAATCCTTATGCATTTCATTTGACAAAAAGGCCTCATTTTTCTATTAGCATCGGGCCTTTGAATGTCTCAAGCCGGCCCTGCATATATGGAAGCTCTTAGCCAACTTAATCCACTAATTGGCTTATTTGCTTATTTGAAGTTTTAATTCGACTTTTTGGCTTAATAGTCACAATGAAAGGTTATTTTTTAATAATTTCGATAAGGTTAACATATACACTATATATGTTTATTTTTTTTAAAGGATATATGTTCAAAGTTAAATATGAATAATAGTATAGTTTCGAAAAGCGGCAGATATTTTTTCAGAAAAGGCAAGAGTCAAGGGTATCGTGGAAAACCGTCAGGGTTTTCTCACATCATCTTTTTACACATGCACAATTGTATGTTGCGGGTTCGATGGTCACAAGTCCGTTTGACTTAAAGTTCATGATATACGATGAATGAAGAAATTCGGTAAAAACCATAAAAATGTTGTTTACAAAGTCTTCAATAATTTGTAATTTGTGTGCTTATTAAACTTCTAATATATGTTATTATTCATTTACACTTCATTTAATTCAAGTGATAAAATAATGATATGATTTGTAAATGCTTTATAACAAACATTTACAATAGACATGTGTTGGTAGAAAATATGTTGAGTAGAAAATTCGGCAGCAATTCAGTATGATAAAAGTGACGTGTCCAATACAAGGGGGGGGGGGGGGGGAGCGGCCTATTTATAGGCGCTTACAAGAGGCTTGTCTAAAGTTAATGGGCTTGGCCCAGTTAAACAACTAAAACAAGAAGCTTGATCTAAGGTCCATGGGTCGGTCGGCCCAAGAGCCAAACAAATCAATCCAAGGACCATATTCTCTAGCCGGACCGTGTGTTGGACCTGGTTCACGCCCGAGCCCATGCATATCGGGTCGATAGTATTGGACCCGGCCCATTATCCCAACACGAGTCCCCCACTCCCTTAGTCGAGTAGCAGACTCGGCTAGAAGGGAGTAGTTGAGCAGCTGCCCAAAGGTCGGTTCGGCTATTGGATTATCTGGCTAGCCGCACTTTTGTTATAGCAGCCCGGGGGGGCTCGTCAATGTAATCGTTGGCCCGGAGGGGGCTATTTTTCGCGGGTCTTGATCGGCCCCCTTGCTTTCCCATCAGTCTCAATAATTTGGGCCTGAAATTCCAAAGTGTGGGCCTTGTTTTCTGTAGCTGTATATTTGACCTCGCCACGTATATTTCGATCCGACCAGTAAAGAATTAGCCCAATTGGTATGCCGCTAATTTGGTCAACTCGCACGTCAAAGAAACCCCCGATGGGCTTCCTAAAATAGCCCGGAGCTATTCTAGTTAATAATTTCTTTCCTTTTTTTTTTCTTTTAAATTCCTTGCGTCCAAGCGTGGCCCAGCCCTAACACCATCGATCATCCGCACGCGCTTCAGCCTTCCAGGTCCCCCCAAGCTTCAGCCGCTCCAGCCGCAGCCATGACGTCGCCCCAGCACTCCATCCCCAGCCGACGAAGGAAACGCAGCGGCTCCCCTTCTCCGTCGCGCCGGAGGGAGGGTCATCCACGACGTCGTTCGCCGTCGCAAACGCGAAGCCCAGGCGGTCGGAAAAAGCCCAGTGATTCACGGTCATTATCTCCTCCTGTTCCAGGCCTTCGCACGGGTTCTCAACGCAGTCCGCGACACGAAGGTCATCATGGTGCCGTCTCCACCCGCGAACGTCGTTCCTCTGCCAAACATTCCCAGCAACATCCGGCGGGTCAGGTATTGTCTGCACGAGCCCCACCTGGCGAGGTGGACGTAATGTCACGACCTGGGAATTCGGTTGCACGAGCCCGTCGTGGCGAGACGGCCGTACGGTCGTCACCTGGATGCGTGGCCGTGCAAACCCAAACCAGCGATGTGAACATTCGGTCATCACCAAGCGGCTCGACCGTACGATCCCGATCCGACGAGGTGGGGAAAAAGTCCATGCATGGAGACCCGACTAAACGGACTCAAGCCAGCGAGGTGAATGCAATGTCTCAACCCGAATCTTCGACATCAGGGAAAAATCAAGGAGCCTCCGAAAATCTTACGATGCATGAAACAACTACCACCTCATTGCGGCTGGACAGACCCACTACGCGGATCGTGATCGTTAAAGGACATCTCCGGCCTGCTCCGGGGGGCCCACATGACAAGCCCGTGCTATCCTCTAACAATGTTGCCCCTGTAGTGGACGTTGCCTCTCAATCGGATAGCTCATCCAAATCAGACGGCGGATCGGATAGCGTCGAAGATCCTAATGCCTGGAAGGATCGTTTGCGTTCCACCAGTACAGAGGCAGATTTGAAGTTGGCAAAAAGTATGGTCGGCAGCGATTGCACCCTCATGTTGCCAGATCCCGAGAGTAGCCTCACTAGTCCCCCTCCGAAATCGTTCTTCGGGGTTCACATTACGTCCATCGCGCGGGGCATGCGGGTGCCTTTGTGTCCATTCTTGGTGGCACTCCTTGCCCATATTGGGATATCGCCATGCCAGATGACCCCAACCGCACATATGTTTACAGCTGCTTTTGTCGCTCGCTGTAATGGGGTTGGTATCCGACCATCCATACCGTTGTTCCGTGCATGCTTTAGGTGGAACCGTCCTAACAGTAAGACAGATGACGGTGGGTTCGTGTCACTTTGCCAATCACCGCATCGTAAGCTCTTTGATCAGTACCCAGAATCACCTAGGAAGTGGTCGAATAAATGGGTATGGGCGTCCGCTCCCCGCTCGCTTCCCGTCACGTCTACCTGGGGTAATTCAATGCGCGAGTATAAGCCTGTCCCTCTCACCCCCGACCTTGAGGAGAAGGTCGAGACCCTGCTCCAAGGGGGCCCTTTCCCGGTAAACTCGTATATAGGTAAAAATCTTCTGCCTCCGCGGGTCACAGATACCACATAAAATCATCCCTTAATTTGGTGATATTTTCTGGTGCAACAGGCAACAGAGACGAAGCTGCCGCCCCCAAGGTGCCATCGGGGACCATGCTTCCACCTTCTGCGCCTGGTGCGGGTTCATGTTCGCTCGATCCTGGGGATAAGCGCGGGGCCTCCCCGTCCCGTGAAGAGCAGGTTGCCATGGACGAAGAAGGTGCGAACTCCCTTTTAATTCAAGAGGAGAAAACCCCGGCTGAAATGACTTCATCACCCTCTTGTTTATTTTTTGCAGGTATGTTAAGCAGGGTTGCCGTGCCCCCTCCCTTGGCTACAATGCAGGGTGTCGCCCCCCAGTCCGTGATGCCCTGTGCAAGCAAGGGCGTGTCTGATGCCACCATGCCCGAGGTCGACGCCGGGGTGAAGATCGGGGTTTCCCCACGTCATGAAGAACAAGTTCGCAAGAAAAAGAAAGGTGTGAATCCTCCTCTTTGATTCGGGAACGGAGAAATAGTTCAACCGGCACTATTCCATTTTACCCTATTCATTTTCTTGCAGAGGTTGCGGGTATGCGGGGCAGGCTCGCCGCCCTGGCCGCAGAGGAGGACGCCAAGTTCCGGCCTTCGAGGACCGAGGTCATTCCCTTCATCGCGGGGAAACAATGCGGGGTCCCTCCCGTCAACCATCCAGCTCCCGCCCTTAGTGTTCCACCAACTTCGGGTGTAGCGTGGGCAGGAAGCGTATTCCCCGAGGCCATTCCGTTCATCGCGGGAAAACAATGCAAGGCTCCTCCTGTTAACCATCCAGCTTCTACCCTCGGTGTTTCATCGATCTTGGATATGGCGCGCTCCATCGAATCTCACAGCACGGTAGGTCGTGTTATTATCATTATTATTGTTGTTGTTATAATACTCACTAACTCCATGTTTCCTGCAGGGGCTGATGGACATAGCAACCGCGCTTCAAACAATAGGTCGCCATCGCGAGGAGCTCCGGCATCAGGTTGACGAGGCTCACCGCCACTCGGTTGCCGTTCAGCGTCGGGCGGACGAAGCAGCAGCCGCTCTGTCCGAGCTCCAGTCAAAATATGACTCGCTACAATCAAAGTACGATCGACTGGAGGCGTTGTTCACGGATGCGGGGCGTCAGGCAGTTGCGGCATTCCAAACATCCCCAGAATTTTTTGAGATCATCACTTCGAGGCTGGAGGCTCACCGCTCGGAGCAGGTCCAAGCATGGTTGAAAACTGATGAAGGTCAGCTTTGGCGGGATAAGGAAACTCTCATGTCCTTCAGGTGCGGCCGATACGACATGCAGACCATGTTGTACGATAGGCTGGCAGAGTTTTATCCAGACTTCGATCCCGGGAAGTTTGGTTTGCCCGAAATCATGCCAGATCCTGACGGGGCCGACGAGCAAGCGAATGGTTTGTCCCTTTTGCACCTGGATATTCCAGAGGACCTGGAGGATTCGTCACACGCCTTTGATTTTGTGACCGTCCTAGATAGTGTTCCCGACAATCTGCCTGATCCCTAGATCGTAGATTGTGGCCTCTCCTTGTTGTTCTTTATTCATTTACTTGTTTATTTTCATTCCGCACTTCTGTCTGGATTCACAAATATATAGCCTGATTGGTAGGCCGTTCACAGATTGCTTTGTCACATAATCTCATATTTGCACTTTTGTTCATCTTCCTTCCTCATGTAATCATCTTTAATCCGAGACCACCTGGGAAATTAATCGGGGATCTAGCTCCCCGCCTAAGCCATGAGGGGCGGAAAGCCGGCAGGGCCAACCTTGACCGCGCCCTGCTTGGAAAAGCGGGCTGACCCGCACACCGTCGGTCTAAGACCAACTGGCGAGCAAGCCGTTTGGCGGGTGGCCAGACAATGGATGTACGGGAAGGGCTCAAAGCTCAACACCCCGCGCACCTTCGACCCGTAGGCCAGTCTTACACCTTGACTTGTGTAGCTAATTTCTTACTTAGGAGAAATTCAATCATCCCTTTCTGAAAATCGAGCTAAAGTCGGCCAAACGTAAGGGCAAGGCCCTATATGGTCAGACTAGAACGGACCCGCACCGTTGACTGTATCGAGCGAGTATGCGGGCTGCTAGGCCTAGCAACGTTAGACGATAGACGTACGAGAGGGGCGCGGAGCACGACCTCTCGCATATCTTCGGCCCGGGGACCAGGTCATATCGTTGCCGCATCCTCGAACAGATCAAACGAGAGTGCGAGCTGTTTAGACAGCAACGCCAGACAACGTATGCGCGAGAGGGGCTCGGAGCACATTTCTCGCACACCTTTTCGACCCGGAGGTCGGTCTTGCGGTCGCCCTGACCGAGCGGCTAATCCCGGACTTGAAGAATAGTTTGGTCATCTCCTTGCCCGAGGATCGAGCCGTGGTCGACTAAACACCGAGAGCAGAACATGAGTTTTATTATCATTATTATGATTTTCCCTTTTTTTTTTCTTTTTCTTCTTTTTTTTTTCTTTTTTTTTTTTTTTTTTTTTTGCTCTGCCCGTTTGTTCCCAAGTGAGGTCGGACCTCATATAGTTCAATATTGAAAGAAGAAAGAAATGAATTTATTAGAAATAATGGAAATGATCAATTTTAGAAATAATGGAAATGATCAATTATTACAAATCACTACTGATAGAACTTAAGTAAATGCTCTGCGTTCCATACGCGGTCGATAAGCTTTCCCGTCGTAGTCTTTAATTTGTAAGTTCCTGGCCCAACCACGGCTTCAACAACATAGGGTCCTTCCCACTTAATGGCGAGCTTTCCCCCTTCTGTCGGTTTGCTTGCCTTCCTTCGTCTCAGCACATAGTCGCCTACGTCGAAACTTCGCGGTGCTGCCCTGCTGTCCTGGTACGCTTTTACTTGCCTGCGATAATTTTCCGCTTTGATGAACGCCCGGTCTCTTCTTTCTTCTATGAGGTGGAGTTCGGCTCTGAGCCTTTCCTCATTGTCAACTGGCTCGAACTCTTCCACCCGTCGGCTGGGAATCACTGCCTCGAAGGGTGCCCTTGCTTCGAAGCCATAGCACAGAGCGAAAGGAGTCTCGCCCGTCGCCTTCCTGGGGGTGGTCCGGAACGTCCAGAGTATGTTACTTAGCTCTTCCACCCACGCCGTTCCAAGGGCTTCCAACTTCTTTTGGAGCCCGTCTACGATCGTGCGATTGGTATTCTCCACCTGCCCGTTTGCCTGGGGATAGCAAACAGATACTCGACTTGACTCCACGCCCCACTCGGCGCAGAACTGCCTAAACGGTTCACAGTCGAATTGCCTTCCATTGTCGGAAATAATTTGCAAAGGGACCCCAAATCGGCAAAAGATATTCTTCCATATAAACTTCTTGCACTGCAGATGCGTTATGCTGGCGAGCGGCTCCGCTTCCACCCACTTCGTGAAGTAGTCCACGGCCACGATGACAAACTTCCTATTCCCCGCTCCGTTCGGTAAGGGACCAACCAAGTCTATGCCCCACCGGGTAAATGGCAGAGCGGTGCTAATAGGCGTGTACATAGTTGCCGGCCTTCCGGGGCTCTTCTGAAACTTCTGGCAGGTGTTGCACTTCCTTGCATAATCAGCGCAATCCTTCATGATTGTGGGCCAAAAGTATCCCTGGAGGACCACTTTCCTGGCCAAGGTGCAAGCTCCCTGGTGGGCCGAACATACCCCACCATGTAACTCCGCGACGATCATGTTTGCTTCATGTGGTCGCAGGCACTTCAACAATGCTCCGTTGTAAGATCGCTTGTATAGCTTACCGTCCAGGACGACATAGCTCGGGGCCCGTCGCCGGACGAGCTTCGCTTCCTCCTCTTGGTCGGGTAACGTACCATCGGCTATGTAATGTAGCAAATCGTCCACCCAACTCCAAGCTACTGGTTGCAGAGGAAGCACAGTTACCGAGGGTGAGGCTGCTATGCTCGATGTCGTCACCTCCTCGACCCGAGCAATCTTGGATATGTGCTCGGGTAGCCCCTGGGATAGACGGGATAGGAGGTCAGCATCCCCATTCTGGCTCCGCGGAATACAGATCAGCTCTGCTTGTTTGAACAACCCGAGTAATTCCCGGACGGCATCCCTGTACTTTGCCATCCTTTCCTCCTTTGCCTCGAAATCGCCTTTCACTTGAGATACGACCAACCGGGAGTCGCACTTCACTGTTATCCACTCTGCCCGCATGGCCGCAGCCAGTCGCAGCCCCGATAGTAGGGCCTCATACTCAACCTCATTATTCGAGACTTTGAATAGGTAGCGGTGGGCGTAGTACGCCCGGAATCCCTCAGGTGAGGTGAGGACGATCCCACCCCCGCAGCCTTTTGTCCCGGACGATCCATCGGTCGCCAAGGTCCACCAGTGTTCTTCACTATCTCTCTGCCTTTCGGTAACCTCCCTTGCCGTGCACTCTACGATGAAGTCCGCCAGCGCCTGCCCCTTGATGGACGATCGAGGCTGAAAATCCACCTCATACTGGTTGAGAAGCATCGACCACTTCACAACCCGTGTCGTCCCGGGGGTTCTCAGAGCTGCACCCAGAGGTTGATCCGAAAAGACCTTGATCGGGTGTGCTTGGAAATAATGAGTTAACTTCTTTGCCGTAACGTATGCAGCATAAATGGTCTTCTCCAGCGGGGTGTATCGCAACTCCGCATTCTGTAAGGTTTTACTCACATAGTATACGGGGTTCTGAATGCCGTCTTCCTCGCGGACCAGCACGGAGCTGATCGCGCCCTGCGATACTCCTAAGTACAATATCAGCGTCTCCCCCTTCTTTGGCTTACTCAGAAGCGGCTCAGAGAGAAGATACTTCTTCAGGTCTTCGAATGCACGTTGGCACTCCTCCGTCCATGCGAATCCATTTTGCTTTTTCAAAACCTGGAAGAAAGGTAGGGACTTCTCCGCTGACTTTGACATGAAACGCCCAAGTGATGCCAGCCGCCCAGTGAGAACTTGCACTTCCTTCACCGACCTCGGAGGTTCCATGTCAAGGATTGCTCTCACTTTTTCGGGGTTCGGCTCTATCCCTCTCCGGGTGACCATGTACCCCAAAAACTTTCCGCCCTGGACAGCAAACATGCACTTTTTCGGGTTCAGGCGCAGTCGGACTGCCCTCATGATCCCGAAAATCTCGGCTAAGTCGTCGGCATGGTCAGTCGCTCGTACGCTTTTCACGATCATATCGTCTACATACGCTTCCATGTTCCTTCCTAGCACTGTTCGAAACACTTTTGCAACCATTCTCGTGTATGTCGCCCCGGAGTTCTTCAAGCCGAAAGCCATAACTAGATAGCAAAAGATCCCCTCCGGGGTGATGAACGAGGTCTTCTCCGCATCATCTTCATGCATGGATATCTGATGATACCCTCGGAATGCGTCCATGAAGCTAAGGAGTTCGCACCCGGCCGTCCCGTCTACTAGCTGATCGATGTTAGGTAGAGGAAAGGGGTCCATCGGGCATGCCCTGTTGAGGTCCGTGTAATCGACGCACATTCTCCAAGTTGGGGGCTTCGGTGCCAGGACCACATTTGCCAACCATTCCGGGTATAATACTTCCTTGACGTGTTTGATAGTCAAGAGCATGGCTACCTCCTTCTTCACGAATTCCCTTCGTTCCACCGAAAGGTGTCTCCTCTTCTGCTGGATCGGCTTCACCGTCGGGTCGACCGCTAGCTTGTGAACGGCCACACTCCGGTCCAACCCCGGCATATCTTCAGGACCCCATGCAAAGATCACACTGAACGTGACCAACACTTGGATAATCTTCTCTCTCATCCCGGCCGGGAGCCCCAGCCCGATTTTGATCTTTCGCTCTGGGTGCCCGGGATCGATATGAACTTCTTCAACCTCGGAGGTGGGCTCAGCGCGGAGCTGGCCATCCTCATACTTCATGGCTTTGCTGTTGATAGTGTGGACCCTGAGGTCCCTCTGTCCGAGTTGCTTGCACGCCTTCATGTAACAACTCCGGGCCATCCTTTGATCTCCCCGAGCTATCCCGACCCCGTTCGGAGTGGGGAATTTCATACATAAATGCTCCTGAGAGATAATGCATCTCAAGTCCTCCAGCGCGGGTCTTCCCAGGATGATTTTGTGCGGACAGGTTAAACGTACAACGATGAACTCGATGTTCAACCTCGTCACACAGGGTTCCGAACCCACCACCACGGGCAACACCACACTGCCTTCCGATTCGATTGAGTCCCCGGTAAACCCGGACAAAGGTGTTCTTACCGGACTCAGATCCGCCCCGCTCAGACCAAGGCCCTGGAATGTGTCATAATACATTACATTCACCGAGCTTCCATTGTCCACTAAAACTCGATGAACGATTGTATTGTTGATCTCCACCTTAATCATTAAGGCGTCCCTATGCGGTGGTGGCATGGGTGGTAAGTCATCATCAGTGAAGTAGATCGGATCTCTTCTCATCTTTTTTTCTGCAGGTACTCGGGTAATTTCCCCGACGTACAAGGATCGAGCCCATCGCTTCCTTTCGCCCGATGTGTCCCCTCCTTGGGGGCCTCCCACGATGTAGGAACATCTGTGATGCTTCCGGGCTCCCTCTCCTAGGTCACATTCGTCATCCTCGGACAAAGCTCCGAGTTCGCGCTTCTTTGATGGTTGGTCAAGGGGCTGTTTCTCCTTGGACGTGGTGGCTTGATCGGAACGCCTCCATGTCAGGTTCCTCCCTCTCTGGGCATTTCCCGGTTTTCCTACAAATTGGCCCAGATATCCTTGTTTGATGAGTGCCTCGATTTGTCTACGGAGAACTATGCATTCCTCCGTATCATGCCCGAAATTCCGGTGAAACCTGCAGTACTGGTCGGTATTGCGTTTGGCAGTGACTACGTCACATTCCTCTGGAAAGGAGACCAAGCCCTGCTCCTCGGCGTAGTCGAGGACCGTCCCGACCGGTTGAGCCAAAGGTGTCAGATGTTTGGTAGGTAGGAGCGGACCGTTAGGGACGTCCGTCCTCCCCTTATTCCTATTCTTCTTACCTCTGATCCGGCCGCCCTTTCCACCAGACTTCCTATCAGCGTCTTCATCATCTGGGTCACCGCGTTTTCCCTTGTCCTTCGTGTCTTCTCTCTTTCCATCCTCTTCATCTCTCTTTCTCTGTTCAGCGTCCTCTGCCTCAGCCTGACGGTCTGCCCGCCTCAGGGCTTCCTCGTATAAAGCGGGCGGATTCCTAACAAAATCCTTATAAAGTTCTCCTGATCGGATAGAATTTGTCAGCATTGCCACTCCGGTCCTGTCGTCAAGGCCCTGGACCTTGACCGACTCGGCCCTCCACCTTGCCAGGAAAGCGGACAGAGCCTCCTTCTTTCCTTGCTTCAGGCTGAACAGGTGACTGAAATTCTTCTTCACATCTCGTGAGCCGGCGAACCTCAAGAGGAAGTGCCTAGCCAACTCCCTGAAGTTCCCGATGCTCCCATCGGGCAATGTGTCATACCACTCACGAGCCGGGCCATCTAGAGTAGCCGCGAACCCTCTGCATCGTATGGCATCTTCGTACCCCATCATGACCATATATGACAGGTAACGCGATATGTGGTGCTGCGGGTCCGAAGTGCCCTTGTAAGTATCCACATTGCAAGGTTTGTAGCCCCTTGGCAACGGAGCCTCCATTACAGCACGAGTGAAGGGCTCCGGGATATGGAGGTCGGCCACGTACGGCTCTCCCCCAACAACCCTCCTCCTTAGCTCGTCCAATCTCAATCTGAGATCCTTCACAGCTTCGGGCGCTGGTTCCACCGGCATGCGCTCAGCACGGGGCTGGATCCGCACATAGGATTCTGCGACCCTTTCACGCGCATGAAGTCGACGGCCACCACAGCGTCCTTCTATGGAACCGGTTTGACCGCTCGGACGGCGGGAATGATGAGAGAAGTCATCCCCGCCCTCCAATGACGAGACTCGGCGGGGCCCCCCCCTTCCGGGTCGTAGAGGCTGCTCGACCTGTCGGGGCATATGCTCCCTCCGGGGCAAGGATTCCCTTCGCGATTCGTCCAGACTGGTAGGTCGCCCTTCATATCTCCCAGAGGAAGTCTCGATGTTCTCAGGGGTGGTGTGTCTAGGAGTTTCATGATTAGCTCTCCGCGGCATCATCCCCTGGAAATTCTGAGCCAAAGCCTCAATGGCGCGCGTGGCCTCCTGTAGCGCCCGCACTCCAGCGTCAAGTCGGTTCGTGCGTGGAGCCCGACGACGGCGACCTCCGATCCGATCATGAATAGATTGTCTATCACGACTGCGGCTTAGCGAACCTCTTAGGTCCCCTGTGCTCGCCAAATGGTTCCGGAGATCTCCCAACGGTCTCACTACCTGACTTCTCACGCGATGGCCATCGGGCTGTTCTGAATGCTCGGTGTGAACGGAAACTCGCTCTTGCCTTGATGTTCCTGCCATTTTTCTCCTCGAAGATTCTACCGAAAACTGAGAGAATAGCTCTCAATGAAAGCACCAATGTTGGTAGAAAATATGTTGAGTAGAAAATTCGGCAGCAATTCAGTATGATAAAAGTGACGTGTCCAATACAAGGGGGGGGGGGGGGAGCGGCCTATTTATAGGCGCTTACAAGAGGCTTGTCTAAAGTTAATGGGCTTGGCCCAGTTAAACAACTAAAACAAGAAGCTTGATCTAAGGTCCATGGGTCGGTCGGCCCAAGAGCCAAACAAATCAATCCAAGGACCATATTCTCTAGCCGGACCGTGTGTTGGACCTGGTTCACGCCCGAGCCCATGCATATCGGGTCGATAGTATTGGACCCGGCCCATTATCCCAACAACATGTATTACATCCCGTGCAACGCACGGGTGAAAAATTAGTTGCATTTAATGGTGTAGATTTTTTAGAAATATCGTGACATAAGAAAAGTAACGTATGAGCTTTTTAAGGAAAGTTGGTCAATGATTTGAAATTGAATATGTAAGTGTTTTACATATGTAGCTCTGTTATTAATGATGTTAGTTTAAAGATATAAATTGCCCATGGAAGTTCTACTTAATTACTAAGTTGCTACTGGTGTTTTAATTCAATGCTCAACATAGTCTTGTGTGTTATATACAAAGTATGTGTTACCACTGTCATTTGCATTAGATACTCATTGCCATGCGCTAGATACTAGACCTTGTGTATTTGAGAAAGTCTAATACATCATTGATGCAATTACAAAAAAATATTGCAATTTTAATATTATGCTCTTTTATTAGTTCATATTGAAAACGTGTACTTTAAACTTGATTTATTGCAACATTAAACATCATGTGATGTACCTTAATTACTTATTATCAAAGTATCAAACTTCTCAATTTATAACATGATTTTCATCATATCATGCACAACTGCACTCATTATTCGTAATTCTACACCTATCATAAAATTATAAAATGTAACATATATGAAGTATATTAATATTACAATGCGTTGCACTAGTATACTTATAGTGTACACCATGTCATTTTAAATTTGAGCAACTGCGATAAAAACAATTGCATTAAAATTACAACACTATATAAATAAGAATCATACTGCGTGCAGTGCTATCGAACCTTTTACATATACCTAGGCAATTTGTTTTTTTTCTTAAACCAAAACTTGCTCCCATTTAAGTCCAAGTAAAAAGTGTTTAACAGTCTGCATGGGTTATAAAGTAAAAGGGCTAACAAGCACAATCTCAAACACTTCATGATAAATAACATAGTAGCAATTTGTTTTTATTAAAAGAGTGATTTTGTTGAATGAATAATTATTGGCTGCAATTATCAAACTTCTCAATTACGGCACTAAAGTCTACTATCACAACTAAAAGAATACATTCAAGAAGTTTTATAGATGACACTTCATAGCAAAATGGGAGATGAATTTTTTCTAGAAGATTCTTTGATTTTATACCTAGAATGGAATTTGTTAGTATTAGTTTGAAAGTATAAAGTATAAATTTTATACTTTGCAGTCTCATTATCCACAACTTCAATGAATATTCCAATAAATATTAAAAAAGTATTATAGTCTCTGTATGTGTTAAACTTTTTTTTTTCTTGGCCCCCATCCCACTTCATCTTCCTAGAAAATATGTTAAAAATCTGAGGAATTCTAATCACTAATATTACTCCCTCCGTCCCTAATTAAACTTTCAAACTTCTTTTTTCGTCGTCCCAAAATAAACTGTATTTTCCCTTTTTTTATAAAGAATTTGTGATTTCCATCAATTCTTACACATTCTTACCCACTTTTCTCTCCTATGCATAATTCTCTATCACACAATAACCAATATCTTAATCTCCGTGCCAAATATACTTTAAAAGTTAATTTAGAAACGGTAGTAGTATATGAACTTTTATCATCTCTTGCAAGTTGAGTTGAGGAGTTCACATTTTTTACCCACTCTTTCGTGACTATTGTCTTCGAATGCTGAATTGGATTATCAGAGATTTTAAACTCACAATCCGACTATTGTTGTGTCTAAACTCTAAAGAGACCTTTTACAATTGTCCGTCTCTTACTCCGTATTAAGGGTGTCTCTTTCGTCTCTACACATCATATTTAGTCTCTACACTCTTAAATTTAGTAAAAGGTAATCATTATGGACTTGATAATACAACACGGATAACTCGTTCATATGCTTGCTGTTCTCGCCCGCTTTTAATCACCCCTCCCCCCAACGCTCTGCCGTTACATTTTCTACACCCCACCCCCTCAGGCCACTACCCCACCCCCACCCTCAGCAGTATTTCAACCTCCCCAGTCCCCACGCTCTTCAGTTGCATTTTCTACTCCCCCCTCGCCTGCTGAGTGTATTTCAGTTTTCTTCTTCTGCTAAGCCCAGATAAGATAAGCTGAGACGAGTCGTCGTTGTCAAGCTTCTGGTGAGCATAAAGTTCCTTTCTTTCTGTTTCTTGCTTGGTGGGTTTTTCATTTCTCCCGGGAATAGTTATTTTTGTGTGGAGGTTGGTAGGAAAATGTAGAGGGAAGAAAGCGTGCTTGCCGAATTAGCTTCTTGCAGGTTGGAAAATGGATGTGAGAACAAGGTTGATGTGTGGAAAGAAAGGCAAAGTGGTTAATTTTTTTTTTTTTTTTTTTTTGCTACGGTGCTACCCCACCCCACCCCTATGCATACATTCTTATTTTAGATGGCCATTGACATATTTTTTCTGGAGTAATTAGTGGTTTTATCGTCAAGAACTTATAATTGTTGTGGATTTATCGTTAAGAACTTATAATTGTTGTGGGTTAGTGACTATACGGTCTATATCAGTGGATGGCGTGGATTATCAAAGAAAATAATTCATGCATGCTAGACTGCTAGTAATAATTATTAGCAAAAGATTCAATTTTTTTATTGTACTTCTTGTTGGAGATTTGATGAAATTATTAATCTTGATAAGTCCGAGTCCTTAATTCTAACAGTTCTGTCAGTTAGATGCAAGATTTGTTCTAAGTAATCTCACCTCAACACATTAGCCTGACTGGTTGCCCTGTTTGAAATAAGGGAAAGTTCCCGAAATGGGACTAAAAAAGTTTGAAAATTCCAAAATAGGACTGTCATGTTTTTATTCCCAAAATAGGACTAATTACTGCCAAATTTGGAAAATACTGCCATGTTTGAAAACTGGTACTGTCAAAACATGGCAGTAATTAGTCCTATTTTGGGAATAAAAACATGGAAGTCCTATTTTAGAATTTTCAAACTTTTTTAGTCCCATTTTGGGTAATATCTCTTGAAATAATGGGTTCGCTTGGGAGACAATTTGACTTTATTCATCTTCATCCTAAAGCCACCAGACTCTTGCATTTTCCTTAGGTCAGTTTAGTTCAACTTAACTACACAAGAGAGAGTCTGGTGAGAAAAATAACTATATGTTTAAAATATGTTAAGTGTATGTGGTAAGAAAAAGATATAATGTTCTAGACATGATTGGAAGTTCTTTTTCATTGCCCACAAGTACTTATGACCCCCCCCCCCATTTGTGATTTTGCTTAGCTGACTCTCTTATTCTGGGATTTAATCCTTTGTTGTATTTTCTGTGGGTCTGTAATTCTTACATACAAGAGCAAACTAGCAGAGTAAGTTGGAGGTGAAGAGAAACACTAGATTTAAAATTTTCATGTCAAATGGCTTATTAAGTACTTCTTTTTAATGTAGGTTTATTAACCAACCTTCCTATTTTCAATCTCGATACAGATTACTCCGGATGAAATGATGAAAAAGAGAAGCGATTTAGTTTCTTTCCTTTTCTTCTCCTCCATATTAAATGATGAAAAAGAGAAATGATTTAGTTTCTTTCCTTTTCTTCTTCTCCAAATTAATTAAATGATAAAAAGGAGAAATGATAAGTTTCTTTCCTTTTCCAATTCTCCATATTAAATGATGAAAAAGAGAAATGATTTAATTTCTTTCTTTTTCTTCATCTCCGTGTTAAATGACGAAGAAGAGAAAAAATTACTTTCTTTCCTTTTTTATTCGACTATCCAGGAAACTACCACATTGTATATTTAACCATCTAAATAGTGTTTTCTCGTGTTTGTTGTAGACTTATAGTGTTACGCTGACCCCTTCAATAAATTTAATTTTTTAAGGTGGAAGTTCTCCAGTATATCAGCAAGAAGATGAAGAAGAAAGGCAGTGGACAAAAGGTAATTTAAAATACTACACATAAAATATAAATGGGTTTTTTTGGTCTTTCTAGCATGCTTCTTTTCTTATATTATTAATTTCATATCTTGCTAAAAAATATTCTGTTGTTAAGAAATCTGTAGTTGAGGGCTTACCTCCAGGGTGGACCAAGGAAATAAGAATCAAGAAGAAGTGTGGCAAGACTAGGAAAGACCAGGTAACTTAATCCTACACATGGTCTCGCCTATTCTTATTTGTATTGATTTGTGGCCCTTGTTTGGCTACTTTTCTTTTCTTTTTCTTCTTATTTCCTTATTTTTTTTATTTTCATGAATGTATTACTACTTGCCCAGTATTATGTTGATCCTGAGAGTGGGCAACTCTTTCGCTCTTTGAAGGAAGTTTATTGCTACCTTGAAACTAAAGATTGTAGGCATAAGACTGAACTTGAACTGAATGATCAAGGTCTCAACAACATGCAAGCTGCAGGTTCTTCTTCAACTGTAAGTGTGTGGGCCTATTTTGATTTTTTATGTTACTGAACACCGTAATGGTGGTTATGTTACATGTCAGTTATCATAGTACTAGTGTAAAACCATTACATGTAATATCGGTTCTTATTAGGCTATCTAAATGTAGTTATCGGTTCTCATGTAGATGTTCGTTTCTCCATATGGAATACTCCCTCCATCTCTAATAACTTTGCAAAGTTTGACCGGTGCATGGAATAAAGTAAAAACTGCGTGGTTGAAGTTTATGCACAAATGAATTACATAAAAAAGAAAGTGGTGAAGTGTTTGGGACAACCGGAAAAGGAAAGTTGGAGGTAGTATAATAGCATGTGCTTAGCTTAACTTTTGTTTGGATGGAAAAATTCTGGCACAAGGAGGATAGTGGAGGAGCAGCGTGTGTTGCGGTCAGGGAGTTATGGGGGTGGTGGTTGAACAGTTACAAAATCTCAGAAGTCTAAAAAACTCTTCTTCTTATCTCACTCTTGGAAGTCAGGGTTCAAATATCCTGAACCACTTTTGTACCCCTTATATCGATTGAACCATGGCTACTAATTAGTTAATATGATAACAAATTTAAATTATTTCAACCAATCAAAGTGAGTGGTGCCCAAAATGTGGCTTAGAGGATTTGAGTTCTACAATCTGTGGATTGTAGGGGACCTCTTTCACTTCTCAAGTTCTTTTACTGAAATTGTTTTACATTATAATAGTTATAAATGTAGATTAATACTCCCTCTGTCCTATAGTTTCGTTTCCACTTTCTTTTCTAGAATGTTCCAACAATTTCTTCCCATTTCTCTAAGGGAAGATTGCATGGTTGATTTTTTTTATCTCCTTTTGACCTAATCCACAGTGTTGCAATATCACTTAATTAACAAGTTGGCCAACTCAAAATGGGAAGATAATTTTAGGACAAAGAGAATTCTTAATCATACCAAAATATATTTTTCCAAAATAATAATTTCTCTCCACTGCTCCCTCTTTTCTCCTCCCCTCCTCTCTCCTTTTTTTGAACCAAACAAGATCTAAGAGAAACTTATTCCTTATGAGTTTGACACATTCTTGACATAGAGAAGATGATCCTGTATTAGAAATGACCTTTATATCTAATTTCTTTCTAAATAAAGACGTCTTGACAATTTTAGATCTGCACCAACTTCAGGTTCCTTTGCACTCATAGAATATAGTTTCTTTTTTACAAACCTAATAAACTCATTTTACTTTGAAAATTGTACTCCTTACCAATTAAAGGTAACTACCTCGCGTTCTTGGGGCATAGTTATTGCCAGAGGGAAGCAGCGAAAGTGGCTATATGGGCCGTCCAAATCACCAAGACTGACTTGCGGGCCTAGCAACGTACTCTTGATTCTGTAACCTTGTCATTTCCTATTTTCAGTTGTAGTAAATTCTAATTAATTCTATTATGTTTCCTCTTATAAGGACTCTTCTAATAGCTATATAGGGTCTTCAGTTTTATTTAACAAAGTACATTTTGAATTACTTGTGTCTTTGACTAAGCCAGGCACTGATTGAGCTCCTGTAGGCTTCTCTTGTTGTTTTATCATATTCAAATCATAGAACCTTTAGTATTCTTTAGTCTTGGCTCCAACTCTTTTCCCTTATCCCGAACGCGGCCTGGGCCGATATCGTGAATGTGTGCTCATAATACCACTATATCATTATGTTTTGAATTTGTTACTTCCAATGGTGCTGTTCTTTCATCAAGCTTTTTAAATGTTCCTTTGGACCATTTTTTGTCCTTCCCTAGCTACCTTTTGAAGGTGAAGAACTAAAAGCTACTGCAGATGATGAACAGCTTGGTGTTGATGAGAATCTCGAGTTGGTTGGCAAGGAAGAGAAAGTCGTGATGCCCATCAGCACAGAATGTTGCACCTCACCACCCTCTGCAATCACTTGTCACCACTGTAAATCTCTCAACTTTTGCTACCAAATAAATAATCTGAGGCTTAAATAAGTTTCATAGATCTGCATTTTTTACTAAGTTCCTCTTAAAAACTTGTCTTTCCACCTGTCCCTCAAATTTACGCTGTTATTATTTACATCTTCAGTAGGGAGGGACTTAAAAAGAAAATGACCCAAATATAAGCTTGAATGACAAAGAATTGCAAATACTGGCACATAGTAATGGTCCCTGTGCTGGTTCCGGAGCTGGGCCAGGACTGGCCGTTTTTCTCCCAGAGACCGAATCGGTTTCCTAGTTAAAAGCACATGAATGAGTTCAAAATCCGGTCCTGGTTTCTCAAAAATGGGAATTGAGTCATTGACTGGTCCCTTTCCACTTTTTAAATAGTTAAGAAGCTGGACCAGGTTTGCACCGGGTATACCTGTTTCTATTCCCAGTTCCAACCTTTGCATGCCCAGAACTGACCTGTCCAGAACATGAGCTGGCCGGGTTCAGCCCTACAGAAAACTTTTTTAACCCTCTTATTAATTTTTTTGTCATGAAAGATTATAAGGACAAATTTCAGGAGAAATAAAGCAATATAACTGTCATGCTTATTTTGAGATTTTTTAGTCTTCGTAGCACGTGAAGAAGATTCAGTAATGGAGAGCAGTAACATGGTCGAAGTAAATAACGAGGATGGGAAATCTGCTGAATGTCAACTTGGTGGCTTTGGTGCAGATCATATAGACAAAGAAAATGCAGAGGTGGAAGAAAAACTTGGAAACAAAACCATTCTTAGTAGAAAGAACAAGTTGCGTGAGAGCAAAAGGCCCCATTTACCCATCAGAGTTTCCAAGCGCCTTGCTGGCATTAAAGACAACCCTTTGTTGGAACAGAAAATGAATAGTCATCAAGGACTAGCTGTTGCAAGGCAGGAGGGTCAAACAAAAGATGGAATTACTGATATTTCCATAGAGGATACCCCCGGGAGCGTAAAGAAACAAGAAGGTGACTCTTCCTCCCTGGGAAAGCTTATTTCCTTTGAATCATCATCATCTCCATCATTACAGATGAAGGATATTTGGAGCGATCCATGCATAGAATTTGCCATCAAAACTTTGACTGGTGAAATTCCATGCATGGGAGAAGAAGTGAAGAGAGTGGAGGAGACAACCCCACAGTCCTCCCTTAGTTCATCTGCTGTGAATCGCCAGTCGTCTTCTTTTGGGGCGGAAATGGCGGCATTTGGTGGTGGTAGAGGCATATTCGCAGATCCATGCATTGAATTTGCTGTGAAGATCCTTACTGACGAAATTCCACTCAGTAGCATTGATTTTTCGGCATTTGTGAAGCCATCAGAATACGTTCGGCAGCCACAGCAGGGGCCTCCCCCTCCCCCTCCCCCTCCTTCTGCATGACACCATAACTGCTGGGTAACTAAGTTCGGCTCAAACCAACCCATGTTGTGAACCCCTTCGAAAACTCTCCTAGGTTGGGCACAAGACTGTTGTAACTCTTTAGAGCAAGTGTTAGTTATGTTTCAATGTGTGGCCATTGATTGCAGGAGATGGAGAGTATTTGTACATGTTCTCTCTTCAAATTCAAGACACTGTTGTTAGGCAGTTGACAGTGAAACTTGTGATAATAGTTTGTTGTAGACAGAGTTCATTTTTTGGTGTAGAATACTTTTACTCATGATCTCACCGAAATCATTTAGGAAAACTTTTTTCATTTTCTTTTATGTAAGGAGCGTATTATTGAATTGTTTTTACTTCTGTAAATGAATCATAAATCTCACAAATTCACTTTATCCCATGAATACATGTATTTATGTTTATTAAAGGTAATCTCTAAAGGAGTGTTTGTGTTTGCTTCTACTTTTGAGAAGTGATCTAAATTAGAGATTATATGATAAGTGATTAATAGTAGAAGTTGGTCGTGTTTGAATAAAAAATTGATTTTGAAAATTAAAAGTTAGAAAATTGTAGAGTTTTCCCGATTAATTAGTGGATTTACCGTTAGGAATTTATGATTGAGTGGGCTAGTGACTATTGTGTTTCTACTAGTGGATTGCTGTCGATCATCAAATATAATACTACCTCTGTCCCCCTAAGTTTGGGACAAAAGAAAGTGGCACAGTTATTAATAAAAGTGGGTTTATGTGGTTGATATTGAATTGATAAAGTAAGAATAAAGTAGGAATGATTTAGAAACGGTAAAAATGAGGCATGAGACAATCTTAGTGGGACGGACCGAAATGGTAAAATGAGACAATCATAACGGGACGGAGGGAGTAATATTCATGCATGTTAGTAATAATTCTTAGCAACATATTCAGTTTTTTTTATTGAACTCCTTGGTGGACTGATGAAAATGTTGATTTTGATAGGTCTGAGTCCGTATTTCTAACACTTCTGTCAGTTTGAAGCAGAATTTGTTCTAAGTAACTTCACCTCGACACATTAGTCTGACTGGTTGCCCCATTGCAATTGACGGGTTTGCTTGTTAGAAAATTTGATTTTATCCATCCTCATCCCAAAGCCACCAGACTCTTGCATGTTCTCTAGGTCAGTTTGGTTCAACTTAACTACACAAGAGTGAGTCTAGTGAGAAAAATAACTACATATATAAAATATGTTATATGTATGTGGTAAGAAATAGCCACAATGGTCAAGACATGATTGGAAGTTCATTTTCCACTGTACACAAGTACTTATGCCCCTGCATTTGTAATTTTGCTTAGCTAACTCTCTTTATTTTGGGATTAAGTATATAAATTTTCAATGTAGTATTTTCTGGGGGAGGGTTCTCTATTTCTTATATAAGAGAAAACAATAAGTTGGTAAAGAGAAACACTAGATTTAAAATTTTCATGTCAAAGGCTTAATAACTTCTTCTATGTAGGTTTATTAAAAACCTCCCGATTTTTCAATCTCAATACGGATTACTCTATTAAATAAAAGAGAAACAATCTAGTTTTTATCCTTTTGTTCTTTTCCGTTTAAATGATGAAAACGAGAAACAATTTAGTTTCTTTCCTTTTCTTCTTCTCTGTATTAAATGATGAAAAGAGACATTTAGTTTCTTTCCTTTTCTTCTTTGTTTATAAGGGAAACTACCACATTGTATATCTAACTATCTAAATAATGCGTTTCTTGTTTTTTATACTGTTAATTTGACCCCTTCAACAAATTTAATTGTTTATGGAAGGTGGAAATTATCAAGCTTATCAGCAAGGTGATGATGAAGAAAGGAAGTGGACAAAAGGTAAAAGATATCAATTACAGATGGTTTTTTCGGGTCCTTTTAACATGCTTCGTATGTTATACTCCCTCCGTCCCCCTAATATTGTCTCATTTTACCTTTTCGGGAAATCCCACTAAAATTGTTCCATACCATATTTGGTAAAGTTTGTGTGGCTTGAAATCCTTCTCACTTTATTCTTACTTTATCAATTAATATCAACCACACAAACACACTTTTCTTAATAATCGTGTCACCCTCTTCCGTCCCAATATAAAAGGGATGGAGGTAGTATTATTAATTTCACACACACACATACTACATATATATTTGCAAAAAAATATTTTTCTGTTAAGAAATCTGTAGCTCCGGGCTTACCTCCAGGGTGGACCAAGGAAATGAAGAAGGGTGGCCAGACTAGGAAAGGCTGGGTAACTTAATCCTACACATGGTCTCTCATTTTCTTATTTGTTTTAATCTGTGGTCCTTGTTTAGCTACTTTACTTTTTCTTTTTCTTCTTTTTACTTACTTATTGATTTAATTACATATATATATATATATATATTCATTAATGTATTACTACTTGCACAGTATTATGTTCATCCTGAGAGTGGGCAAGTCTTCCGCTCTTAGAAGGAAGTTTTTTGCTGCCTTGAAACTAGTGATTGTTGGTATAAGACTGAACTTGTCTTGAATGATCAAGATCTCAACAACATGCAAGCTGCAGGTTTTCTTTCATCTGTAAGTGTATGGGCCCATTTAGCTTTTTTATGTTGCCGAACACTCTATAATAGTGGTTATGTTACATGTTAGGTATCACCGTAGTAGTGTAAAACCTTACATGTTAGGTCGGTTCTTATTAAGCTATCCAAATGGAAAATTCGCACAGATACTTATCACTATGATGTAGATGTTCATTTTTCCATATGGAATATAAAAGTATGTGATTAGCTTAAGCCTTTGATTGGATGGAGGAGTTCAGGGGGGGCAGGGGAGGATAGTGGGGAGGACTTGAGGGTGTTACATAGGAGAAGTATGGGCTTGGGGGGCTGAGATGAAGAGCTTTAAAACCTCAAAAGTCTAAACTCTTCTTATCACACTCTTGATTTGGGGTTCAAATCTTCTGAACCACATTGTACCACTTATATTGATTGATCAATGGCTATTAATTAATAAATATAATAAACAAGTGGAAGTTATTTCAACCGATCAAAGCGGGTGGCACACAAAATGTGGCATAGAAGATTTAGTTCCACATTTAACGGATTGTATGGGAGTTATTTCATTGCTTTAAATTCTTTTCCAGAAACCGTTTTACATTATTGTGGATTTGTAGTTATAAATGCAGATTAATACTTCCTGTGTCCAATAGTTTTCTTTCCACTTTCTTTTTTGGAATGTTCCAACTTCCAACATTAACTTCCCATTTCTTTTAAGGAAAGATTATATGGTTGAATGGTTGATATTGTTTTTCTCCATTTGATCTAAACCACAATTTAACAATATCACTTGACAACTATGCCAACTCAAAACTAGGAGATAATTTTAGGACAGAAGGATTATATTTTTAATCATAACAAAAAATATTTATCCAAACAAGAGCTAAGAGAGAGTGAGAGACTCATTTCTTATCAGTTATTTGAGCATAGACAAGACGACCCTGTATTTCTGAATGGCCTTGTCTTTAGTACACCAATCTCTGTGTACCTTTTTATATCTAATTTCTTTCTCAATAAAGACATCTTGACAAGAATTTAGATCTGCACCAACTTCGGGTTTCCCTTGGATTCTTATAATATAGTTTGTTCTTTGTCAATTTGTTCTTACAAAACTGATAGTCATCTTACTTGAAAACTGTACTCCTTACGAACTGAAGGCAACCACCACTTGACGTGGGTTTCTTGGGGAATAGTTATTGGCAGAGAGAAGCAGCGGAAGTGGCTAATTGGTTCATCCAATTAACCCAGACTGACATGTGATGTGGGCCAAGCAACACAGTCTTGATTCTGTTAACCTTGTTATATCATAGTTCCAGTTGTAGTTAAATTCAAATTAGTTAGTTGTGTGTCATTTTATAAAAAGGATTCTTCTAGTAGCTATATATGGTCTTCAGTTTTACTTAACAAAGTTGGTTTTGAATTAATTCTTGTGTGTTTGATTAGGCCAGGCACTGATTAAGCTCATCTAGGCTTCTCTTGTTGTTTTCTCATATTCGAATTATAGAACTTATATTATCCCCCAGCCTTGGCTCCTCCTCTTTTCCCTTTTCCTGAAGTTGGCCTGGTACAAGATCATGTATACGTGCTCTTCATACCACTTTATCATTATGCTTAGAATTTGTTACTTCCAATGGTGTCTTTCTTTCATCAAGATTATAAATGTTTCTTTGGACTATTTTTGTCAGTTACCTTCTGAAGGTGAACTACTAAAAGCGGCTGAAAACAAAGCAGATCATGAACATCTCGTTGTGCATGGGAGTTTCGAGTCAGTTGGCAAGGAAGAAAAAATTGTAATGCCCTTCAGTACCGAATGTTGCATCTCACCACCCCCTGCAAGCATTTGCCACCACCACTGTAAATCTCTAAACTTTTGGGGTACCACATAAACAATTTGAGGCTTATATAAGTTTTTCAGCCCTGCATGTTTTTCCCAAGTTCCTCTAAAAACATTTTTCTACATGCCCCTCTAATTTACGTTGTTAGTAATACCCTCTGTCTAATTTACGTTGTTAGTATTTACATCTTCAATAGGGAGGGACTAAAAAAGAAAATGACCTAAATATGAAGATGAATGACAAAGAATTGCAAATACTGGTATGTAGGAATGGACCTTGTGCTGGTTTGACTGGTTCCAGAGCTGGGCTGGGACTGTGCAGTTTTTGTCCCAGAGCCCGAATTGGTTTCCCAGTTCAAGACAAGAATGAGTTCAAAAACTGGTCCTGCGGTTTCTCCAGAATAGGAGTGGATGGGTTCAGTTCCGCTTTTTAAATAGGCTAAGAAGCTGGAGCAGGACTGGACTGGGTATACCATGCTTATCTGACCCAGAACCGACCTATCCTGAACATGAGCTGGAATGGGTCCAGCCCTACTGGTCTAGCCCTCTTGTTATTCTTTGTCATCAAAGACTAGGACAATCTTTAGTAGAAATGAAGCAGTACAACTTTAGTGCTTATTTTGACATTTTTTAGCCTTTGTAGCACGTGAAGAATGCCAACTTGTTGTGGATCATATAGCCAAAGAAAATGAATAGTTGCAGAAAAAACTGGACATAAAATCATTCCAAGTAGAAAGAACACGTTGGGTGAGAGCAAAGGATTCCACTTACCCATCAGAGTTTCCAAGCGCCTTGCTGGCATTAAAGCTGACCCTTCCTTGGAGCTGAAAATAAGTAGTCATCAAAGCTTAGCTTCGCATGGCAGAAGGGTCAAACAAAAGCTGGCATTACTGGTATTTCCATGGTGGATACCCCTGGGAATGAAAAGAAACAAGAAGATGCCTCTTCTCTCCTGGGGAAGCTTCTTTCTCCTAAACCATTATCATCTTCATCATTACTGATGAAGGAAATTTGGATGAAACCATGCATAGAATTTGCCATAAGAACTCTAAGGGGTGAAATCCCATGCATAGGAGGAGAGAAGAGAGCGGATGATACAACCCCACAGTCCTCCCTCAGTTCATCTGCTGCAAATCGCCAGTTCTCTTCTTCTGGGGCAGAAATGGCTGCATTTGGTGATGTTGGAGGAGGCATATGGGCAGCAGATCCATGTATCGAATTTGCTGTGAAGATCCTAACAGGCAAAATTCCAATCAGTAGTGTTGATGTTTCTGCACCTGAGAAGCCGTCAGTATATGCTCAGCATCTGCAGCAGTGCCTCCTCCTGCATTCGGCTCAAACCGACCCATATTGTGAACCTCTTAAAAAACTTTCCTAGGTTGGGTATCAAACTATTGTTGTAACTTGCAACTGCTGTAAGAGTTTTATGTGTTAGTTATGCTTCAATGTGGGTCGATTGATTGTGTGTGTGGGGGGGCCATTTTTAGGCAGTTAGACTAAGTAACTTGTTTGATGTGGGCCAAGTTCTTTGTTTTGGAGTAATATATAAACAACAATGTTTCATGTGTCTTAAGTTTTTCTTTTCATTCTTCATTTCGGGTCATAAAAAAACTTTGCTCAATTCCTTTAGGGTATGTTTGAGAGTTTGAAGGGAATGGGAGTAGAGGGTTTTGAAGGGGGAAAGTGTTGAAAACCCTTCTTCTTGTTTGGGAGTACCAAATTTGAAAAAAATAAAGGCTTTGTATGAATTATAATTAAAATCCTTTCACATATGTCGCGAATTCAAATAATTGAGTTTATATTTATTTAAAATTGAGCTAAAATTTTCATTTAATTAGTTATCCTTCAAAATCTCCCAATTTGGGACAACTTGAAAATTGAGCATTTGAAGGGTTTTAGAGGGTTACAAAAGCCCTCCAAAATCATCCCACCATATTTTTTAACTCCCCAAATATGAAAGGGAGGGTCATATACCCTTGTCAACCATCCGCTTCCTTCCAAAACTCAACTCCCAAACATAAGAAGCCTATTATTCAATTGCTTCTACTTGCCATTTGTATTGGTTCTACTTTTCTTAATGAATCATAAACCTCATATATGCACTATATACCATTAAGACATGTATTTATGTTTATTAAGCGGTTATATTTGAACTTTCAAGAAGTGATTTCGTTTGTTTCACCTTTTGAGAAGTCATTGATCTTAGAAATTATATAAATATTGATTAACAGGGGCAGATCTCTTCTATGCAAGGGTGTTCATGTGAACACCCAAAAGTAAAAAAACAATGGGAATATATATATACAAATTAGAGTAGTAATTTATTTATTAGTATTTTAAAGAGAAAATGTGTAATTTTGAACACCCAAATTGTAAACCCTAGATTCGCCACTGTTGATTAATATTATAAGTTGGTATTATTTGAAAAAGAATGATATTTAAAAAGTACGGCCTAAAATCAAAGAAAATAGTATTATACCGTCTCTACTAGTGGGTTGCTATTATATAGTCTCTACTAGTGGGTTGCTGTGGATTATCAAAGAAAATAGTATTCCTAATTATTAGCAAAAGATAAATTTTTTATGGAACTCCTTGTTGGAAATTTGATGAAATAATTAATTTTGTTAATTGATGTTTCTAACACTTCTGTCAGTTGAAACAAAATTTGTTAAGGAGTGTTTGGGTTTGCTTAAAAAAAGCACTTTTGAACTTTTGGCTTAATTTTTGAAAACCCTCTACTCCCATTGAAAAAAAGCACTTTCCACACTGACTGTTTGCTCTATTGCATATATGTGACGGGTTTGCTTGTGAGACAATTTGAATTTATCAATCTTCATTCTAAAGCCACCCGACATGCATTTTTGTTTGGTCAATCTTCTTTTTTAAAAGTAGAAACCGAATCAGAATCAATTTTTCAGAAATTGTCTCCCTCAGCTTCTAAAAGACTGATTCTAAAGGGGTGTTTGGGGTTGCTTAAAAAAAGTGCTTTTTATCTTTTGACTTAAGAAAAGCTGAAAAGAGTGTTTTCAAATGACAGCTTCTGCTTAAATTAATCACTTAAAAGCTAAAAGCTGGAAGCAGGTAGAAGGGTGCTTTAAACTGCTTCTCACTTTTCCTATTACACAAAAAGTACTTATTTTACCAAACACTACCAACTTTTACTTTTTCATAATCACTTTTTTCTCAAACACTACCAACTTTTACTATTAATCACTTTTCCCAAAATCACTTTAAAAAATCACTTTTTTAAAGTTGAAGCAATTGCAAACACTCCCTAAGAACAATTCAGAGCACGCAGAAGTACTTCTGCAGTTTCACCCCAACACTCCAATATTTTCTTTGGCTCCCTGAAGAAGCAGAAACAGTTTTAAGAAGTAGATCCAACCCCTAACTACACAGTAGAGATTCTGGTGAGAAACACAACTTTATATTTAAAACTAGTTATTTTACGCGCGTTGCGCGAGTGAAAGATGCCCAATATTATTTTAGTGGCAGTAATAACATGAAATTTTATTTCTTAGTATAATTGAGTTGTTTGGAATTACACAATAGTTATGTATTAAAGAAATCATAGTTATCAAATTGTTAAAAAACGATGTCATGTCTCTTATGCAAAAGAAAGTGGCAATTGTTATAAGAAAAATATATCAACACGATTCAAATAAAAGTGACCCTTAGGTGAAAAGTAAGACTAGCCTGACAACTTTAGTGACCATACTATATTAGATCATGATAATGTTCAACTTTTTCACTATAGTAACTACATATAGTGACTATGCAGATTCTCAGAAGCAAAAATTCCAATCCCGGTGAATATTTTATAACTCTACTCATATTTCCATCAAAATCAAATTTAAACCGTGTTCATATAGTAATCTTGGATTCTTCCCATATGTCATCATCAAGTGCAATGAAGATGATAATTTATTGATTACCCTGTCATGCATATTAAAAATTGTACTAATGTTATATTCCATTAATTAATTGATATCTTAATTTCATTCTTTGTTATTCCACCACATGACCGCATAGATCTCAAATCCCAATGCATTTTAGAAGTGTGTAAAAACATATCATGCGGAATATAGGAATGAAATTAAAGGTCAATAAAACTGATTGAGAAGAAAATTGAATTCGTCGTTCACTATTCTGCACTACATACATCCGTATATATACAAAGCATTAGCTCACAAATATTCTAGAAGAAAATATACACTCGTCTAAGATAAGTTCATACATACGGCACTAATTTGATACTATCCTAGATTAAGATTAGGAGTTACAAAAACGGATGTCCTAATTATGGTAACGGTTTCAAGTTTCAACACCCCCTCAAGATGGAGCGTGAGGATCACGAACACCCATCTTGGAGAGCAAGTAAAGAAATGTATCAGCTCCAAGGGCTTTAGTGAATATATCTGCAAGTTGCTCAGATGACTTTTGATACATGGGTTGAATTGTTCTGGCTAGAACATGGTCCCGTAAAAAATGACAGTCAATTTCAATGTGTTTTGCCCATTCATGAAAGACAGGATTAGAAGCTATATGGAGTGCGGCTTGATTGTCACATAATAGTTTAGCTGGACCAGTGTGGACATTAAGCGAACGGAGTAAACTTTTAAGCCAAATGAGCTCACTGGTTAACATAGCCATAGATCGGTACTCTGCTTCAGCCGAAGATCGAGACACAGTGAGTTGCTTTTTCGTACGCCAGGAGATAGGGGAGTGACCAAGTGTAACAAAATAACCAGAAACCGAACGACGTGTCAAGGGGCAACTTGCCCAATCTGAGTCACAATAACCAGTCAAGGTCTAAGTAGAGTCACTGCGCAAAAGAATGCCTTGACCGGGATGTCCTTTCAAATAGCGCAACACTCGTAGAGCTGCTTCCCAATGGGCTTGACGAGGATTCTGCATAAATTGAGATAAAATATGCACCGAATAACTAATATCGGGCTGAGTAAGAGTAAGGTAGATGAGTTTCCCAATCAAGCGGCGGTAGCGATCTGGATCAGCACAAAAAGTACCCTCATCAAGCTGCAAACGATGATTTTGAACCATAGGAAATGACACCGGACAAGCACAACTAAGACCTGCTTCAGAGAGAATGTCAAGGACGTACTTGCGTTAAGAGAGAAAAATACCGGTAGAGTTGCGGGCTACCTCAATTCCCAAAAAATATTTCATTTTACCAAGATCCTTGATAGGAAATGAACGCCCAAGAAAGGACTTAAAGTCACGAATCATCTCAGAATTATTTCCGGTAATAAGCAAGGCATCCACATAAATGAGAACACAAAGTATAGAAGCATTTCGCTTCAAGGTAAAGAGTGAATAATCGGCATAAGATTGATGAAAGCCATATTGTTTCAAAGTGGTAGTAAGTTTGGAAAACCAACACCCGGGGGCCTGACGAAGTCCATAAAGTGAGCGTTGCAGGCGGCACACCTGTCCGGAAGAATAAGAAAATCCAGGTGGAGGATACATATACACTTCTTCACGCAAGTCTCCATGCAGAAAAGCATTATCGACGTCCATCTGATGCAATTCCCAATGTCGTGATGTAGCAACAGCAAGTATCGTACGTACCGTGACCATTTTAGCCACCGGTGCGAACGTGTCGTGATAATCTATGCCTTCAGTTTGTCGATTTCCGCACACGACAAGACGAGCCTTGTACCGTTCTATCGATCCATCACTCTTATATTTAATTTTATACACCCACTCACAATGAATGACTTTCCTCCCAACGGGTAATTTTTGAACAGTCCACGTGCCATTTTTTTCCAGTGCATCAATTTCTCGCCTCATGGCCTCACGCCATTTGGGGTCTTGGACAGCTTCCCGGTAGGTACTAGGCTCAACCTGTGCTGATATCGCTGCTAGAAACGCCCTGTGCTGCACTGAAAAACGGTTATAATTTATAAAACAAGATAGTGAATATGGATACCTGAGGCAACTAACGAAGTAGAGTCAACAGGAGTGGGGCCAGTTTTCACAGTATTAAGTCGGACATAATTATTATGCCAAGAAGGTGCTTGCCGTGGACGGTTACTGCGTCGTAAAAGGGGCTCTTCTGTAATGATATGTCTATCCGTGCTATGGGCTTCTACTTGCTCGACCTGTGAAGTGTTAGTCACACAAACGGCCTCATGAGGTGATTCAGATGATGAGGTGTTGGGCACTTCTGAATTATCACCAGGGGAGTAATTGGGAGGATTACTTTCCAACGTGTGCTCTTCTTGCACACCTACTTTGTATGGGAGATATGCTTGCACATCATCATCATCATCATCGGCGGGTAATTTTCCTTGAAAGGAAAATTATCTTCTATAGTTCTATGAAACGCACGTCTCTTGATACGAAAATATGCTGTTTTTCTAAGTCATAAAATTTCCAACCCTTTTGAGAGTGAGCATACCCTAAAAACATTCCACGTACACCACGATCGCCAAATTTGTCCTTCACACGGTTTTTTTGAATGTGCATAACAAAGACACCCAAAAACTCGTAAATTTGTGTAATTAAGCAATTTACCATGCAATAATTCATATGGTGTCTTACCTTCAATGACGGGTGATGGGAGTCTATTGATTAAAT